TGGGACACCTTGGGACAGTTAAAAAAATGTGAAATGTTAAGTCGAAATTTTCTGAAAATAGTATAACTAAATAAATTTATATTTTTTAGTGGGCACCTCCTAGTGGGACACCTTGGGACAGTTAAAAAAATGTGAAAAGTTAAGTCGAAATTTTCTGAAAATAGTATAACTAAATAAATTTATATTTTTTAATTTTGTAAATAAAGTTTTATTTTGTTAGTTTTAACTTCTTGTATGCAAATCTAGTTGTTCAGAATCAGATACCAAACCCAATAGTTTACTTACCTTAATACCTAATAGTTTGATTTAATTTAATTCATCATAATTAATTCATCAATATCTTAGTTCAAAATAAAAATAATACAGTTAAGCTTTGAGCTAACATAAGATATGTGATTAGACTAACATTGATTAAAGTGAAAGCAAAATAAGTGTCAGATCAGCAAATGCCAACATTTAAACGCATTTTATTTTTTTCCATCGCGATTTTGATTTTGTAGGAATACTTCCATGAATGGTCCGTGCCGAAGGGATTTAACGCATGCAATTTTATTCAATTGCACAATTTTATTCTAGATAAGTATCTAGATGATTTATGTATATACATTTGCAATTTTATTCAAGTTCTACATTTATTTTAAAATACTTAGATTATTATTTATCTAAACGATTTAAATCTTTTATTCTAACTAACTATCAAATTTTGACTTTATTTTCGTTACCAATGTTGGATATTTGAAACTTTTTACCGTTTTATTTCCTTTAAATCTAATATTTTGATGAAATCTCCGAATTATTTAATAAATCTTTAAAAAAAAAGTTTTTATTGCCATTATTTGTGCTATGTGAATAAGTTGAAAATGTCGGAGAGCCATGAACTGTTTTATATGAATAAGTTGAAAAGAATGGGGAAAAACGTAGAAAATTATTATATTTATTTTTTAATATCTTAAATTTTCCTCAATTAGCATTCGTGATGACGAAGGTGAAAGGGAATCGAAAATCGTGCTCAATTTCTATAAATAAATACTTCTTAAAATAATTACTACTATTACATAAATTTACTTAAAATAATATAATATAAATTTACTTAAAATAAATACTACTGTCATGGATTCAGATCAACGTTCCGACTGTCAGCCATTGTTCAATTATTCTCCACAGATAACTAGTAAACTACATAAAATAATTAAAGTGGGTTTATCACAACTCCCGTATTGCCGACTTTTCCCTAAGGAGAACTTGGAGCATGTACCAAGTTATCCCATAGTTAAGTAGCTCTCAAATAATTAAGAATTTGTATAATGTAAAGTTTAATCTTGTGTGTGATCACTATGAATCTGGTTAAAGCATAGTTAAAATTTTAATTTATTAAAAAGAAATATTTCAATTACACTAGCTTGCAAAAGTTTTTGATCAAAGCGTGCTATGCTTTTTTTTTTTTTTTTCTTTTTGTAGAGATGATTTTCTTTTTATTTAGTCAAGCCAACGTATACATTAATTACACTTGATTTCAGAATTTTTACTTTTCTTGCAATTTAATGGAAAATGTAATCTTCTTTGGATTAAATTTAAATCTTTGCACTCAATTCAGTTGAATATTTCTTTTTTTTATATATATATAATTCGAGTCTTGTAAGAACTAATTCAAAAATAAATGTCAATAATAAATTTAAGTTAAAATCACCATTTCCGTAAATAAATATGCAAAACTTATGCTTTTTTGTTAAAATTGTATCTTTCAATTGTATTTTCATCCAATTCTTAGATGTAAGAAAATCGCTTCACGAAAAACAAATACCCGACTGATATGAAAATTGCATTTTATTTAAAGTGATTTTCAAAGCACTAACTTTGCTTTCTGGTTGATAAGCATATTACTAATGTTTTGGGAATAAAATTATACATTATTTATTACATTTCCAATGAACCATCTATAATATTGAGTTTGACCATAGACTTCAGCACGCTAGTGTATTTTTCGTTATTTTTATTATTTAACGTGTATTTGAATAAAATTGCATTGTTGTAGCTAATTTTTAGACATCAACTAACTACCCAGTAATAAATTATATATAAACTAATTCATATTTCAGCGAAGCTTACAATAGTTTTCAATATTTGTTATGAAAGAAAAATTTTTTTTACTTCAAAAGAATGAATTTTACTTTCTTTTTACGTTTGCTTATTGTTAATAAATTTGTCGGTGTCCCTTCCAAATTACTTCTTGAAAACTATGCTAAAATGCTTTAAGTCAATTGGAGCTTTTGTTGTCTTGTGTTATCACAAAAGTTTTGCAATGTTCTTGCCTTTTAATTTAATTGAAAGGTGCCAAGTTTTGTTACGAAATGTCTTTTTTTATGTAATGAGGCAAGAGAGATTACGTTCAACCTTTCTTCAAAGAGTTGACATTGAATTTATAGTCTGAATATTTTTTTTCTTCAATGTTCTTATGCTTGCTTTTCGAGTGGAAATCGTCTTGAATTAGAGAATTTATTTTTTCTGCTGCGTTTTATAAAGTAAAATGAAATTGAAACTATTGAATATATTCAGCATTTCCTTTCGAGGAGAGAAATAGGAAACCGCATAGAAAGCACAAATGCCGATTCCTGAAATGATATTGCAATTTTTTTTTTTATCCATTATAATGAGTAATAGTTCCTAGATTATTACAGTTTATAAAAGCATGATCTTCTTTTAGTTTTGGGGAAATAAAACATTAAACGTTACTTTTTCCTTCCCTTATACAGGAACCCGATATTGATTAAATAATTGTATAAGAAAAACTTTTTTTTTCCTTTTAATGTGGCGAATAAATACTTAAAAGTGTTTTATACTTCATATTAAACTTTTATCGAAGCGGTGTTTTTTGTATCTTTGCCGCCAAGGAAAGTTAGAAAATGCTCATTTTGTATGCTTAAATAACGTTTTTCGAAGTTTTTTTGCCAAGTAACATTTTAAAAAGAAACCACGTTTCAAGGTCCTTGCACATGACACAAAGCTATAATTTTTAACTATGCATACCATCTAATCGTAAATAATTATCTGAACTGTAGAACGGACAAATGACTTGAATATTTTAAAAGTTGTTAAAGTTTTTTTAAAAATTTCAATTTGGCAAGTTTTTTTTTCTTACTTCAATGAAAATCAATAAATGATTCTCAATTTTTACAGATTTTTACTAGCCTAAATAATGCAGCATCGGAGTAATTTTTTGAATATTTAAAAATTAGATTACAAACTCTTTTCACTGCACAAATTTGTTACTTTTCAAATTGATATTTTGTGCCATTTTCAGAATTAGCATAGAGGGTTCAGACTGAAGAAGATAGACTAAACTAGATCTAACAGTCATGAATAACTCTTTTTAACTCACAACGGTTATGAAAATGTTTTTATTCGCATAAAAGCGTTATTTCATGTGGCAACAGAGACTTCATATGGCAACAGAGGCAGCCTTGTAAATTTGAAACAACTTAGATTTGAAACTATTCTCTCTTGCTATTAAAAAATATATAAGCTTTACAACGATGGAAAAGTTTAAATACTTAAAAAGTTATTTAGTTTTTTGGTAATTTCCTAGAAGAAAATTACTGTAATCAATGAATAATTTTCGAGTTTTGCATATTTTTTTAAAAAAATTGCGAATTGACAAAATTTAAAAATTGCTTTGCTTCGAGTTCTTCATTCGGGAGTTCTTTTTGTAAATGTAATGGGTCTTCTGCAACAGTGGCGTTTGTGCATATCTCGATCCTGATTAGCTGTTGAAGTGTTTACGTTAGCAACTGTTCTTTCCAATCTATTTCGAATAAGCCAAGCCGTCAAGTATCAATTCTCTTAAGTGGCACATTCCATATTCTTAAACAAAGATTATTTCACAAGGATTTCAATCCGTTCACTATATAATTACTATATAATTTAGCACAAAGGTGGGCATGAAGCCACGTAGAGTATAAACAAACTAATTATGCATCGAAGTTGCCGGGTATACAAAACAAAAATATATCACGGTTACAATAAAATACATAAACAAATAATTAATCTAAATTTGTGGAAAAACTTAGCTCAACTTTAGCGCTTATAAACGATCAGCAGCAGCTGACGTCATAGGTTAAATGTGTGGGTATCTATGTTCTTCGTCTTTTTCTTGAAGTGCAAGTACCCAATTATGTACAAAAAAAATTTTTCTTTATACAGATTTTTCAGTTTTAACGAACTTGCTAAAGACCTTGATATCTTTTATGTCTTTTACTGTTTTCAATGTGTTTAAAAAATTATATTTAAATGTTTCATTGCGATATTTTTTTTTATAGGCCAGAACCGTAACTGGATTTTTTTTATCTATAGTGTTTTTTATGTACTGTTTATTTCGACTTTAAAATAAAATAAAATATTTTTATGTGCCCAAACAATACGACAGCGTTGGAGCAACAACTTATCAAATATTAAAAAATTTGACCCAATACTCTTTCCTTTTTCCAATACTGCCATTTCAAATGGCATTTTCATAAGGAATGCTGGTTAAAATTTGACGAAAATTATCCTTATAGTCATGAATAATTGTTAAAAACTCGTAACGGATACAAAAATAGCATATTATTCGCTAAAAACATTATTTCGTATCAGAACCTCCGATAAACAGCCTTCAAAAAACTACTATAAATAAAAATGAAAACTATATTTTGCACGGTATATTCATGAAATTCGATTTTGCTGTATTTTAAGTGTATATTTATTTTTCAACTAATACTAAGGGAAAGTCTGTATAGTTACACGAATTTTGTGTTTTCAATAACGTACAATAAGAAGTGTTATTTTAGGCAGATTGTCTACAACTTAGTAATTAATTTTTCCCCATCTTTTCCGTTTTCGTTAGAAAATAAGAATTAACCTCCGCTTTCCTTTAAATAGTGCAGTGGTGGTATAAGAACTCTGGGAAGCATCATGTGAAATGGATATTATTTTTCAAATTAGTAATTTGTGCAACTTTCTATTTTCAGGGCGCAGTCAACCAAACCTATTCAAGCTCAAAGAATGTATCCACAAGAGTTCTCTTTTGAAAACTACGAGTGCATAGGTTTCGATTTGGATCACACCATATGCAGATATAAGCTGCAGAATTTGTTCACACTCATCTATAAGAGCCTAGCATCTTACCTTATTGAGACTTATGATTATCCCAAAGAACTTGCTGAAGTCAGCGAATCAGATTTCTCCTTCGCACAGAAAGGCATCATTCTGGATAAAAGAAGAGGGAATTTCTTGAAATTAGACTGCCAGTACAGAATTGTGCAAGCAACCCACGGTACTCGTCTGCTCGCTCAAGAGGAAATATATGCCATATATGGTCCCAACAGGATCTGGGAAGAAACTAAAGGTATTCCCCACAAACTAGTCATGTTAAATGCCCTTAATGAGCCTTTCTACGTTTTCAAAGACTACTTCGTGACACCGGGTGCTGCCATTTGCGCCAAACTTGTCGATTTTCTTGATCAAAATCATGGTCGCTGTTTGAGTGAGTATAATTTCTGGGATCAGTATATTGAAGGAATCCTCTACTTGTATGAAAGAGAAAATTTCAAAGAGAACAAAGGGAATTATTTTCCGGAACTTAAAACCCATCCTGAATTGTATTTTCGACCCTGCTCAGAAAATGTGAAGAACTGGTTGAGCAATCTACGCCAAAATAAAGTGACCATTCTGTTAACTAGTGCCAATTACGATGCTGCTCAGTTCGCTGCCGAATATTGTCTTGGCAAAGATTGGAAGAAGTACTTCCACATTATTATCACCTTTGCTCGCAAGCCAGGCTTCTTTTGGAGAGATAAGCCATTTTGTATTGTGTCCAATGAGGATGAAATAGAAGGTGTTAAACCAGAAGATATGAAGTCAGGGTTGATTTACACCCAGGGTAATTTTAAGAAACTTCTTGAAGTATGTGTTAAACTAAGCAAATCGGAGAATCCGAGAGTGGCCTATATTGGCGATTCTCTAATGGAAGATGTCTATGCCCCTTCAGAACTTACTGATAATTGCGATACAATCGCCATTGTTGATGAAATGCTGGCAGAAGAAATGGGTAACGCTTCAGCTTTGCATGATGAGAGGCAATTTTTGTTTTCTAACTTCTGGGGTTCCTTTTTCAGTTACAAAACGAAGAATGGGAACAATAACGGAAATCACAGTTTATGGACGCATTTACTGTCTCAACACAGTAAATTAACAATCCCTAGCCTGGATTCTGTTGCTAAATTTCAGATAAGTGACAAGATACCTTGCTTCGGTGTTAAAAACTCTTCATTTTCTGGATTTTTTCCCGGTATACCTGAATCCCTCTGTTCTGGCTCAATTGAGAAAGAAAATAATTCACAACTTGGCGAATCGTCAACTCGCGAAAGGAAGATCTCTCTCCACTCAGGTCTGCCAGGGATCATTTGATAAAGGCTTTTAGTTAGAGTATATGGTTATTACCTATATGTGAAAGATGTAGGGCGTTCCTTTCTCCCTATCTTTGTCCACTTTTTAGCGTGTTGAGTTTTCTCTCCAAGCAAAAAAAATATATGATTACGATCCAATCATCGCAATAATCCTTATAAATAAAATCAATGCTTAATGATAATTACTGAAAACTAAAGTAGTTATTTGTTTTAGTTTTAAGGTATTGAATTCATGTGATTGGAAGTTTAAAAGTATAAATACAGTTTTTTGGGTTCTAATTTTGAAATTGTACTAATATAATGAAAATAAATTTCGGTGGAATTCGCTGTAATTTGCTTCAATATAGGGCAAGTCATGTTCTTTATACATTTGAATTAAAAAGATGACTTGGACTACTTGAAAAGTTCAGAAACACACAATTTCAGAGTTATAACGACTTAGAAACGATAACTGATAATATTTAATCGTTATACCTCAAAAACTTATTTTTCGTCAGTGCTATGCTTAATTAGAATGGGTGAGTTTTAAAACACGAAGCCGGTGTAGCGCGATCCGAAATATAACTTTCAAATTGTAAATATTCGCTTTTCATCTTGAAAGACTAAAATTATCCACTGCATAATTTTCTCGTGATGCCATAATTTTTAATTTGGAGGAAATTTTGTTTTCCAATATTTAAAGTAATTCTGCAAGAAAATACTTCAAACTATAACAGTGCGAATTAAAAAAAAAATAAAGCGCGTAATATTATTTTATTCATAATTTTTAAAAAATTTAGGAAAAATTACCGCTGGAATGGGTTTACCTAAATTTCACCAATCAGATTATCAATTACCAAATGCATATTTCATATGAATTTTTATATTAATTTAAAAGTTGCTATAAAAATTCCGCGTTGACATATATTTTTCATTCCAAAAAAAATTTTCAAATATTATAATTAACTCTAAATCGTTTATTTATTTTAAAAGATGAACATGGGGTATCTCTACTCTCTGACGTTTGAACCAATTGTACTTTTCATACTACAACGATTTTAACAATTTGGAGTTAGTTCCACTGGCGGCGTGTCACAGAACTCACCCTAAGATGTTATTAAATTTTTTCGCTCCACATTATAAATTCAATTTGCCTAAAATATAAAGATTCTCCATTTAAGTTCACTTAAATAGCTATAAGTGCTATTACTTTTAGCTAAGTAATGATAACTTTCGTCAGTTACCTTCTTGTTGACTAGTAAATAGCTGTAAATCACGATCGATCCATCTTCAGCTGCGATTTCGGTAAGCCTACACGTACACAGTGTTTCTCTCGTGGTGGGCAGACTGAATAGTTAATCTCTGCTTATTTCTTTTGCATATAGGTATATTTATGTGCCACTAATGAACCACTCCCTTGTAACTTACCTATATTTCAAAGTTTTTAGTTTTAGAATGGAACTGTTTTTAAATGTGAAGACTTTTTTTTCGATAGTGATGAATGAGCGATGAGTGTTTTAAGACTGTGATAAGTGCTAAAGATATATTATCTTTCTATAAGGTTGTTGTCACAATATACGGCTGGAAATGGAGTTCTCTCATATAGAGTGTTTGTTTTAGAAAAAATTTATAACGTGTTACCTGTGCTCAAACTGCGTCAAATGCTGTGGAATAGCAATAAAAATCCGAATATTTTGAAGTCTGAAAAAGAAGATATTGTATCAATATTTTTTTTTCTTTTTGCATTTAAGCAATTTTGTTCTTTAAATACATTCTTGGGTGATAATCACCATTATAAGTTATAGGCTGCTTGTACAATTAATATTCTTGAACTTACAACTCCTACATAACCATTTTATTGTTTTTACACACAAAATAAATAGGAGTATTGATAAATTTGTTTTTTTAAAGTTTTTGTTTTAAGAGAAAAAAGGATGTTTTTTTTTCATAAATCCTCAAGTTTTTTTTGTTCAATTACTGTATGTATTTATTAATATTAGGGGCAAACTACTAAAGCGTATTCATTTGAAAGGCTTGGGGTGATATAGTAATAAACCACATTTTTCAAAGGTGATTTTTTTTTTTTTTACACCAGAATCTTTTTTAGTATTGTTTTTCTTGACAGATAATTCGTAAGTTTTTGGAATTTTCCTTTGATAACAGCACAGTACATGGAGACTAACTTGGATCTTCGGGATAGGACAAAAATAATCTTTTAAATAATTTTAAAATGTGGTTTATTATCATTACATTACTTCAAGACCTTCATTTTTTTTAAAAAAAATTGTTTAGCAAAGATGTAAATTTACCACTTTCTACTTTTTCTTTGGAAAAAATGGAATTAAAAATATTCAGTAATTAAAGTTGATAATTTTTTACATGAGGATTAAAAAAATTTGCTTATTATTTTACATTTATTTATTCCTGAAATGTTTTTCCTCAACCTTTAAAAGAGATTCAAAAACAATTTGCTCAATTAATAATAACATAGCTGCCAACTCTACAGGATTTTGCCAGTTTCTACTGGTTTAATTAAAATTCTCCTAATTTTAGAAAACTCCCTAAAATTGAGTAAGTTTCCTAAAAAAATCCCTATTGAAATGGAATTTTTGCGCAGATTATTGCTTGCTCAAATAAAGTGTCACTGATACATAATGAAGTGAGCCTCATTTATAACATTCAGTGATCTATTTTTGATGAATTAAATGCCTATTACTATTCTAAATTATGAATAAACATAATACATAACATTTCAAGGTCTTTTAATGTCATCCTAACTAGAAAATAGATCATAGCTGGAAAATATTGCAGTTTTTCTATTTTGATGTCTATAAAAATTCCCTATGTGTAAAGTATTTAATATATTTTGCAACAATTAACATGAAATTTATGTTATTTCATTAAGTCTGCCGGGTTTCTTCCTATCTGCAATGGCAACTGTGATAATAATATATATCGAAAGATTATCTCTAAAATTATGGAGATACTTTGCTCTCAATATGTCTTAATTGAAAAAAAATACTTTTTAATTATTTTTTTGGGTTGTTTCAGGGACTAAAAAATAATTATGACTGTTTTTTAATTATTCTTTTTCAGTGGTAGTGAACTAAAGCAAATTTTTTTGAAAAAAGAAAAAAAAATATTATAACTTAAAATTTTATATGACCTTATATATGTCCGTTGAAATAATTTGTCTTTAGTGGTGTACAAAATTCTAATTTATTAAAATATAAATATCACAAGGAAAAAATATTTTCTGAAATTGCAGAGAATCTGTCGTGGTTGGAGTCCCTGATTTTTACTAAGATGTTCTTTCATATGTTGGACTGAATTGTTAAATAATTAATGTGAGGGTACATTAATTATTAATTGTTAAATAATTATTGTGAAAATTCATGATATAATTAATGTGAGGGTACAGTGTTAGAGACTATACCAGGTGCTAAATGAAAGAAGCTTTCAAACTGTGGTAAAAAAAAAAATATTTCATTGCCTTTTAAAAATTAGGAGTTCGCCATATTTTTTGCTACCATTACATCGAATTTGAGTTTTTATTTCTATATACTGCTTTGAAAATTATGATCCTACTGTTATTGGGAAAGTGAATTTAAAAAAATAATCCCACATTTCGATTAGAGTAAATGGTGTTCTACATATGAATTTTTATTTTTACAATTCCTTTAAAAAAATAATTGAGCTCTTCGTAGTCTAAAATTTTTAATCTTCTTTCTTAATGTAAAATAATCTAATGCTATTACAATTTAAGTGTACTTGGCAGTCTCAGAGATATTTAACTTTTAAAAAACAAATTAGAAATGAATTTGTTTTATTACCAGTTTTTTCTCTTTTTCCATCACTGTTTTAACAAACAGTCCTGCATAAATGTTAAATGTTTTATAGTATATTGAAAGAATAATTTTAGGTAGTTTTAGCACGCTTAATGTTAATATTTTAAAATAGAGTTAGGTTGTTTTAAATTTAAAACGGCTTCATATGTAAAACGAATCTTCTAGACCTGATCTTTTTAAACTTTAAATCGCGAATTTGAATGAGGTAGCGAGGTATATTTTAGCATCTTGCACTTAAACAAAGTGATACAGTTCAGCCGTTACAAATTCGGAGGAAGGGCAAGACACATCTTAAATATTGATAATTGCTTGTGGAGATGTTTTCAGTACGAAAATGCCATCCTTCGGCGACATAGAAAACTTATTATGTGCTGGCAGTTAATTTTATTTATTTATTTTTAATTTTATTTATTTATTTTTAATTTTATTTATTTATTTTTAAGTTTTCCTAATTTTATATTTTAAAGTCTCGAACATAGCTCTCAAATATTCCTAGAAATAGCCATTTTATTAATATTTAACCATGTGGCTTACAAATTGGCTGAACTTTACAAGTTACTCACCAAATCAATAAATTATAATAAAGCATCTATTTTGGGGCTCATTTAAAAGGGGTTTTCCCCTGCTATCCATTAATATTGGACTTAGTTCGTAAAGATCCGATTATTGGAACAAAAGTTATTCATGTTAATAAAAATAAATTTTCTCCTTGTGCTTTATACTAAAAATGTTTTCGTATCAGAAAAATCGATAATTGTCTCGATATTAAAGTTTAAGAAGCCATGTTCTGGTCTGGGGAATTTGTATTGCTACAATATTATTATAAATATTCATTCTGCAGTTCTTAAATAATAATGATATTTTATTGCATAACTAGAAGAATGTTTTTGTAAAATTGGAATCTCTTGCTTTTCAAAATATGCCTAAAACGGCAAAAGTTATTTACTAAACACATTTTCCCACTAAAACCCGTCTTATTTAATGATTTTGCAAAAAAAGAAAATCATAAGTTCTAAACACATTTTTTTTAAACACAATATGCTCTAAAACCTAAGCTTTTCATTTTTTATCAGAATGTTATTTATTAGTATACCTGCTCCAACTAAGCGCTTCAAATATGAGATTAGAGTTTAAAGAACAATTTCATCTACTGTTAAGATGTTAAAATTATTACATGTTTTATTTATTTCGTAGTATGTTTACTTTTGATGAATCTGTTAATAATTGTTAGGGTATATGTAGTTAGTATCTTCATCCTAATGTGTTCATCACTGAGGAACTCCTAAAAAAGTCTTCCAATATATGTATTTATTTTTTTACCTGCCTTATCTACATGCTTTTGGCATTTTTATTTAACTTTGAAAATGTATGTAAATAAATAGATTATTTATCCTCATTTTGTGTTGTTTTTTTTGTTTATCTGCTTCCAACAATGCATATACTTTTGAATGCATGTACTATCTACACATTTAAATTACTTTAAAACATCAAATAGGTAACAAAATTACTTCAGTTTTATTGAACAGTTTAAAAGAAACAGTTCCCCACGAAATAAATAATTTTATTGTGTGTTATTTAGAAGGTTTTTAAAAAAATTGCAATATTGTATATTTGTACACAACGCGCGAGATGAATGTCCCATAAAATGGCAAATTATCAAGATATTAATAGTGGATAAAGATTAAGACTGAAGTTTAGATATTCCTGCCTTGAGCGTATTATTAAACCTTGTAAATTGCAGGGATGAAATTTTTCCGCTTTTTAGCGAATTTCCGCTTTTTTCACTTTTATCTCTTGAATTTCAGCTTTTTTATTAAATTCAGGTTTTTCTAAAAATTTCACTTTTTTTTATAAGTATTCCTCTTTTTCAGAAAATTAACCCATTTTCAAAGAGAAACAGAAAATTCAAACTACATAGCTACCAATCCTTTCTCATTTTTACTTATTTTAGCTATTTTCTCCCCTTTACTCGCAGCAGATAAGATTTTCCGAATTTTTTACCCGCCTCCAGATAGATCCGATATTTGTAGTTCAAATGACGCTGCTTCTGACAAGCTTTTTACAGGTCCCAAGCCTGGAATCTGCTAATATCTCTATTCTTATTCACACGATTTTAATATCAAGCGTAGCTTTTCATATTTGCGTGTTGCGATTCTTATTCACGCGATTTGAATATTGTACGTTGTGATTCGTATTTAAGCCTTTTTAAAAACCTATGAAGCGATTCGTATTCACTCAAGTTTAAAATTCAATGTCTTGATTTGCTCATGCTGTTTATAATATCAAACATTGATTTTCATTTATACGTGATTTTAAAATAAGGCATTGGGATTCGCATTCACGCATTCTAAAAATTATGCATCATAATTCTTATTTATGCAATCTAAAAATTACGCATCATGATTCGTATTTACGCGATCTAAAAATTATGAATCGGGATTTGTATTTACGCGTTTTAAAAATTCTATATCCCAGTTTGTATTTTCTCATTTTCAAAATCGTATATCTAGNAAAAAAAATTTGAGATAAAATAAAACAAAATAAGTTATTACCTCATAAGAGAACTGAAAATATTACCGAAACAGGATAAAACCGAAAAATAGTAACGAAAAAAAACATAATAAATATCAAAAAGGAAAAACTCTAATAAGAGATTAATATGGAGGTGGAGGCACTGATATGCATGTCAGCTGTGACAGGAGGGCATTACCATGCATTCAGTGCTGGAGCAGTTTCTGCTGTTGGTGGTAAATTATAGCAAACAAGAAAAACAAAAGAATCCAACAGCAGGTTAGGCGTAGACTATATACCGTAATCTTGAAAATCGAAGTGGAAGTGCATAAATTACCAGATGGGAAACGGAAAATTGCAGGTTCGTGTATTAAACTAGTATGTGTATAAAGATGGAGAGCAAAAATTTATCAATAAATGAAAAAATTTTTTAAAAGATATAGATAAGAAAAATTAAGCACGAAATAATGAATTCATTATTATTGTATTTGTACTGCATGTGTGTGTATATATATATATAACGTGTCATAAAGAAGACTACGAGAATCGGTTACGCTATGTAAAAAATATCCAAGAATTTAGAAGCTTACTCTTTAGTTATAATGTGCCCTTTAATGATACTTATCAAAAATATGAAAGCCATTTTAATTGACACGCAAAAACTTTCCTTTTTGTAGTTTTCCAAAAAGATATGTCTTTATTTCTAAATATGCAATAAGTTCTATTTTTTCACACCAAAAATAATAACTAATTTATGCTTGCAACTTACGGTTTTATTAAGAACCGTAAGATATAAGCGTTCATCACTATGTATTAAAAATATAAATGTCTATGTTCTGATAAAAAAATTTCCGTCAGATGCTTTTTTTAAAATAAAAATCAAGTGATAAAGTAAATATTAACTTAGTTTAAGCAAAAATGCCTTAACTCTTTCACCATTCTTTTTTCAAGCAATATTTTAATCATTCATTCTCTCTTCTTTTTTTTTTATTCATTCATTTCTGAAACGAAATATTTTAAAATGATATGGTAAGAGATACTTACCATATCGTTTTAAAATATTCCGTTTTTCCAGTGTTCGTACTCAGATAAGACTTTAAAAGTGGTGTTCATTTTGTTTTAAAGAGGTCAAAAGTTACTTGAATTCCATTTCATTTTAGAAGTAAAAAATCGAATTCTAAACTTCGAATCTAGATACATTTATTTAGAGTTATTAAAACATTCCGGTAGGTGAAAATATAATAAAATGCGAATTTCATCTTAATGTTACTACCACTTTTTAATTCTTCATTAAACGCACTAGCGGTGGTTTTTTGCAATAATGGTCTTAAATGGATTGAAAATAAGAAATTGCTACGAGGATTAACGTAAATTCTCTGCCACATTCATAAATTTGTAACACCCATGGGAATCCTGTCAATGCTACCTACAATGGTAATGTAACCATCAAACAATCATTATTTTAAAGCGTCGTCAAGAATATTTTTCTTCTGAAGTCAAGTTTACGAGCGGTGAAGATTTATACAAACCTCTAAAAATACGCCCCCAGCTTTCCACTTCTTCTGCTCTTGACGATGAACAAACGTTTTTTCAATTCCCATAACGATAGAAAAAGTGCGCTGAAGTCAAAATTATGAGAAAACGTAACAAGAGAAAAAAAATATACTTCTCTAAAGACCGGGGAAATAGAAGCGAAAAATAGAGCTGATGGCAGATCTGGAACGTTTACAGAGAAATGATAACAGGAAATACGTATGACTTGGAACATCCAAAATGTATGCAGATTCTAAAATTTAAAAAATCTTTTCAGGATTATCAACTATCATGCCGAAGCGGTGATTCAAAAGGTGATATTTTCGGAGAAAAGGTCAGTTTTGTGCCAATGGAAAAGGGTTGATGCACTACGTTGCCATTTTTTATTTATAAAAATATCATTTCGAACAGTTTTTCCCGCAGAAGTGAATCTGAAAAGCTCCGATCATACATAAAATTAAAACGACTTTTAGTGTCCTGTTAAAATCGTTTGCTAACGAATTCAGTTTTATTTTAGAAATTCAGTGTACGATAACTCAATTTGATGAATGGTTAAGTCCATTAAAAGGATTGAGATATTAAAAAAATTTTAAAATAATGCTGAAGTTAGTCTAGAAAATGGATTAACGATCCTTCGATATAAAAAAATTTATTTTGCCACGCTGTTATTCTGGTAACAGTACTATTCTTGGAGTAACACATAAAATTCTAAGTGCAATACATATTGTTGAATCATTTCTAAGGAAATGAGTTGGTATCGAAGATCTAGTGCACCAGGACTGAGAGGTGCAAATAGAAGAAGAAGCAGTGCTGGTCATGGTTTAGCTACAGTTAGAAGATGTAGTTTGACACCAAGTAATAATTCTTCTAGAATACGTTCCTCTTCTAAAGGTAAATTCTTTTATTATATTTGCAAATAATATCCTGAAAAACACATAATTTACGTTGCCCTTCTAAATGTGTTGCACATTAAGAAATAAAATACAACCGCAATAAGAAATTGTTTTTGATTTTCGTAATGGATAGAACAAAAATTTCTTAACACAGGCTAAAAACTAAAAATATCTTTTAATATTGTTTGCAAAGAGTGGAAATGTTTTTAAAAGGATGTAAAAATTTCAATAACAAGCAGTCATACAAAGAATAACAAAAAACAAAATTGCGACTCTAAATGCATGAAAGTTGCCAAAACTGGCATTTCATTGGTAATGTAGTAGGTTACAGAGAAAACATGATCTTTTAAAAGCAGCTAAGCAGCATGAGAAGAGCAATTTTAAAAAAGCCAAAATCCAAATTAAATAAAAAAGTTTTTTTTTTAAGAAAAAAAAAGGCAATGAGTCATTTTCACCATTTAAACCAGAGGTGTCAAACTCGCAGCCCGAGATGAACATTTTTGTGGCCCAGTAAATATATCCGAAGCAAAGTAAAAATAAAATAGAAATGTGAATCAGAAACGAAACCAGCATATAAAATTATAATATACTTTATTTATAAACTATACGGATCATTCTAAATTGTCCGCTCGAAAATGTAAAATTCGAATTCGCTGAAATGGAGTCCGTTTCACACTAAGCTATCAATTCGATAGCACATAATCAGGTTTATCCTATTATAGCGAGGTAAGTTGGTTATCTTGCTCCAAGGTTCTCAATCAATTCTGGGAATTGAAAGAAAAAGTATGTAAGTTTTTACGAACTATAAATCAAGATACAAGCTTGTTCTCCGATCAAATATGGTTGCAAGATTTATCTTTTATGATTGATATAACCAAACACTTATCCGATTTAAATTTATTGTTACAAGGCAAGGATCAGATCATTGCGAACATGTTTAACATAATTAAAAAAGCATTCAAATGTAAACTATTTCTTTGGGAAAGGCAACTGAAAAATGAAGATTTAACGCACTTCCCAACGTGCAACAAGAACAAATCTAGTTTAGATGATACTGCATCGTATCAAAAATACGCAGAAAAAAATTTCAAATCTTAGAACAGAATTTGAAACAAGGTTTAAAGATTTTAATTCTTTGGAAGACAAATTTTGTTTGTTTTCTTCGATTTTCTCAATAAATATAGACTCAGTACCCAGTTATATGCAAATGGAAGTGATTGAGATTCAGTGCGACTCAAATTTGAAGGCAAAATTCATTGAAGTGGGTGTGCCTGAATTTTACAAATATTTACCGGCAAGGTTTGAAAATACTCGAAAATTCGCATATGAAATTATTTCCATGTTTGGAAGTACTTATCAGTGCGAGCAATTATTTTCTGTTATGAATGGAAATAAATCTCCTGTCCGAAACCGTATTAATAACGCTCACGTTGGGTCAATTTTGAAAGTAGTCTCGGCCAATTAAATTTCTCCCGAAATAGAAAAGATAATAGCAGAGAAAAGATGTTAAGTATCAGGACGTAAACAACAATTTAACTTTATATATGTTTATTACAATTCAAAATAAAAATATTTGTTTCAATGAACATAGATTTTATTTTTGCGGCCCACCTGAAGTTAAGCATTGTTTATTTAGCCCAAGTTAGCTTTTGAATTTGACACCCCTGGTTTAAACGGTAACGATAATGTTCAATTTTTGAAACATACCAATTTTACAAAAAGATAAAGATTGGTGTCTCACCTATTTGATTATTGATTTGATGATAACTTAAGTATTTGGTTAATATATGTTCGTATAAACATCAAAAATTTTTAAAAAAATCGTAATAAATATGAGACAAATAATACTTTATCATATTTGAGGTTTTTTTTTCATTTTTTTTAAGAAAACGTCTATGATTCTTTTAGCAAAATCCCATACCTTTAAAGTGATATCTCTAAATGAGAAATCGCTTCAAGCATTAACCCCTTTGCGACGGGCAAATCATAAAAGCATTCACACAAAATCAGGATGAAAATAAATAAATAAGAGTTGCAGCTTAAATTTTTGCATCGCTAATTTGACAGATTTATTTTGCTTTCACTTTTATTAATATTACACTTTAATCAATTCACGGATCTCATATATGTTAGTTCCAAGTGCAGCGATGTATTTTTTATTTTGAACTAAGTAGTAATAAATTAAATAAATCAAACTATTATAACCTCTCCCACAAATAAACTGGTAAAAAATTAATTCAATTATCAGTTTTATCTTTTTACCCAGATTGATAACATTTCGTGCTGACACTTATGATGACAGTAGGCCAAGAAGGATTAATGAAACCTTATTACCACTACTGAAAAGTTTTAGTGTCTCTGGGCTTTATCTTGGATTAACAAAATATTCTTATCTACCAAAGTATACTGATGACATCAAAGACTGTATTGTATCCTGAAATCTTGTAATTGGCATTTTTTTTTAAATTCAATTGGTAGCTAAATGAATAAAACATCTGCTTCATTAACAAGTTGAATTCCACACTAATTTTACATGGCCTGCCCGTCTGGCCACAACGGTAAATAACTACGAACTTATTTACCGTTCAATTTGCAAATATTAGAGCAGATTTTACTAGTTTCTTGAAAGGTTTAGCATGACATATCAGAAAAAGTGCTGAATTATATAAGCCTACGAATTGTTTAGAAACAATGGTGGAAAAAAATCTACTAAATTGAATTTATTAAACCAAGAATCACAGTTAATAAACTGCCACTTGAAAATATTTATTCGCTTTCCAGAGCAAATTGGCATCTCTGTGTATATATAAATAAAACTATTTTTGTGTGTGCTATATTGCATTAATTTCTTCAAACCATTTTAGCAACGATAATAACATAAAAAAATAAAAAATTTACTCGAATTATGTGTTTCTAATAATCTTGCCTTCGCCGGTGACCAACGTGCCGCCACGAATAAACTCAGTGCCGGCCACCGGTGATCCCCATGGCATTCAACGTGTTAATCACAAATGTATTGCCATTTTTTCATTAGTATCAGTTTTCTTATTATTATCATGGATAAATCCTGTAAGTTAAGTACGTGGTCCTTTTTTTCAAAAAGTTAAGACTGGCAAGGCAAGTCATTTCATATCGTATACAAAATAATGACGAAAATATCTTGAATCAGGATATCTTGAATGACTAAGCAAATCTACTATAATGTATTTAAACAATTTAAATTATTTTCTTACATACATCCGAAGTAATGTGATAGTAATTCTTTAAAAACTTAAGTGGTAAAATAATTAGATCAAGCATAACTGTCTTACCTCTATCTACAGATAGGGATTTTCACATCAATGCGAGAAAAAAAAGTGCCATGCAGAAAATGGATTAAGTCTAGTTCTCCAAAAATGTATAGTTAGCATCATACGTATTTTTTAATTAATGTATTCACTAGATTATACGTAAATATCTAAATTTCACGTAATACATTCCTTATAAAAGACACTACCCAAAGTTACTCTTAAGCACAGGCCAAAGACAGCAACAAAGAGAAGAAAGTATAGTCAGGGAACTACGAATTTGTTAAGTGACTTGACAATTGAAGTTATCACTTTTTGCAAGTAATTTAAATTATGTATAGTTATATGTTACCGTGAACGATCGAAATCAAGAGAATGTCGACTTTCACGGGTGAATGTCAGCAATCACGCCGTCACTTTGATGAATGTCCGAAATATTTGTTATATCCGATTTGATATTAATTTATTCGTTGATATTATTATATTTATTCGATATTTTAATATCTGCTGAGGATAGATTAGGAGAAACATCTTCGGAGTACTGGTTAAATCCATACTGGCAGTGGCACTTGACCTTAAAAAAACATTGATGTAGGGAGCACCGGGTAAATGTATACCGGGCTGTGGCACTTAACTAGACCTAGTATATATTTCGGACATTTACCAAAGCAACTATGTGATTATCAACATTCACCGGTGAGAGTCAACAACCACCAATTTCAGACCCACGATGACTAAGGGGATAGAGCGCCTTACAATCAGGTGAACCGGGTTCGAATCCCAGTGATAGCTGGTCGATACGAATTCCGCATCCGGCTTGCACCGACCTCAGTGCTGACGTGAAATATCCTCAGAGGTAGACGGATCATGTGTTAGAGTCCCCTTGCCCTTAGGCTTACCGTGGGTGGTTCTCGTAATCTTCCTCTACATGCAACGCAAATGCGGGTTTGTTCCATCAAAAAGTTCTCCACGAAGGCAAATTTCTCCCAATATTTGATCCAGGAGTTCCCTTGTCTTCTGGATTGGGATCAAAATTTCAAGGCTACGTGGTTGAACATTGGTAGTCATAAACCCAAATTTGGGTCGGCTGTTCAACGACGGTTATAAAATAAAATTAAATATAAATGGTTTCTATTTCCAATGTTTGATTTTTGTGCACACTCCTACCTTGACAGAAACTCCCACTGCTATTTGAACACGCCCACTTCGATGAATTGTCGNAACATCTTCAGAGTACCGGTTAAATCCATACTGGCAGTGGCACTTGACCTTAAAAAAACATTCATGTAGGGAGCACCGGGTAAATGTATACCGGGTTGTGGCACTTAACTAGACCTAGTATATATTTCGGACATTTACCAAAGCAACTATGTGATTATCAACATTCACCGGTGAGAGTCAACAACCACCAATTTCAGACCCACGATGTCTCAGGGGATAGAGCGCCTAACAATCAGGTGAACCGGGTTCGTATCCCAGTGATAGCTGGTCGATACGAATTCCGCATCCGGCTTGCACCGACCTCAGTGCTGACGTGAAATATCCTCAGAGGTAGACAGATCATGTGTTAGAGTCCCCTTGCCCTTAGGCTTACCTTGGGTGGTTCTCGTAATCTTCCTGTACATGTAACTCAAATGCGGGTTTGTTCCATCAAAAAGTTCTCCACGAAGGCAAATTTCTCCCAATACTTGATCCAGGAGTTCCCTTGTCTTCTGGATTGGGATCAAAATTTCAAGGCTACGTGGTTGAACATTGGTAGTCATAAACCCAAATTTGGGTCGGCTGTTCAACGACGGTTATAAAATAAAATTAAATATAAATGGTTTCTATTTCCAATGTTTGATTTTTGTGCACACTCCTACCTTGACAGAAACTCCCACTGCTATTTGAACACGCCCACTTTGATGAATTGTCGACATTGAATAGTTGATTTGCGACTGCGACACGGACCTCCTCACGCTGTTGCTTCCCAGTCTCGATCTCACACAACATACAACGTATACACTCGACTGCTAATGGTAACACAGGAGCAACCACGACCGTGAACTTAATACAGCTCTCACGATCAGCAAAAGTACGGTTATCTTAATACAGCTCTCCCGGCTTCTCACAGAACTGCAATGAATCAATTAGTGGTATTCGTTCATCGAGTTCTATCATAGATATAATTCTGGTGGGGGAGTACTGTAGTGTATCTACCTCAACAGAAATACAATTGCAATTCCCTAGTATGCAAGACACGTTAACTCTATTCTATGTTGGGGTACCTTTTCATAGAAGAAGTTTGACATTGTCGATATCTACTCTCCTCACACTTATTCAGAGAACGTACCTTTTTGTGTATGATTCGGTAACCAAATCAATACTTAGTTCTAATTAATTAGCATTATCGATGTCGCCCCCTTTAAACGCCCCCTTAAATCAATTACTTGAGCAAAAGTTGTTCATTTGATTTATTTTTTTAATTAATTATTTTATTTATCTAATTATTATTGTATCTATTTCTTTCCGTTTACTGCAAAATTTGTTAAATACTTGTTCATTCAAAAAAATTAATTTAATGACAAAACTTAAAATTTTTTTGTGGCTATATACTTCTTTTCATTTGGTTCCATTATTAACCGAACCGAACGCTTCGTACGCGTTGCCGTAATAAAATTTAAAAGTATGATTTAAATATACAGCTGTTTAAAATTCGATTTCTCAGGATCATTCGACCGATTTCGTTCAAATTTTGTATTTTACCATTTAATTTTTTAAAACTGCAAAAAATTGTACAATATACAAATAAATTTTTTTTTACTATTATTAAATAAAATAACAAAAAATAATAAGTAATTATTTTTGCAAAAATTACCTTAAGATAAACTCTCTTGGATCTATTTGAAAAATTCTCGAGATATAGGAAAATACGCAAAAAGTAAAATTGACATTAAGTTGTCCAAACTTTAGACAGCTCTCCTGACTAAAATATTGAAACCATATTTCCCAGATTGCGACTACTATATTTTGAGGGTAGGGAATACGAATCCGTCGGGGGAAAAAAGTTCCGTCTGGGAAAAATATGTTTATTGAGAGAAAGTACATTTTTATGTCTGATTTCGTAACCTAAAATATCGTCTGCACAAATTAATTAGCATATTTCAGCCCCCCCCCCGGAACCATTAAGATTGAGCCCTGGTAAATGAAAATTTGATCTTTAGATTAAAAGTTATTGTGGGTAATTCATTCTTTTTTTTCCGCTCAGTACTTCCGTTAAGAATGTTAATTTAATTAAGCAGTTTTTATTTTATATTATAACCGTTATTGAACAGTCTACCCAATTTCACGGGCTTACGACTAATTATGTTCAACTCCCGTAGCTTTGCAATTTTGAGCCCAATCCAGAAGACAAAGGAACTCCTGGATCGAGTATTGGGAGAAATTTGTCTTAGTGGAGAACATTTTGATGGAACTAACCAGCATTTGCGTTACACGGAGAGGAAGACCTCGAGAACCTCCCACGGTTAGCGTGAAGGCAAGGGGACTCTAACCCATGATCCGTCTACCACTGATGATATTTCACGTTAACACTGTGGTCGGTGCAAGCCGGATGCGGAATTCGTATCGACTGGGATTCGAACCCGGTTCGCCTGATTGGAAAGCGAAAGCTCTACCTCCTGATTCATCGCGGCTCAAACTTGAAGTCGATGAGTAAAATATTTTTGAGTTATGAATAAGGCTGACTTGAAAAATAAAGCCTGGAGGTACGCTCCCAAAAAATCTGTGATTGGCTACACAAAAATTCAAAATTTGAAAATTGAAATATTTTTCTGTTCATCAGCCAATAAATAATGGTCGTTTTAAAATATTAATGTACTTTTTATAAAAAAAAAAACAATTTCCATGTTTAAATTTTAAAATAAATTTCTTATATGGATCAGCTTTGGTTGAATTAAGATGATTAAAAGTTTCAGTATATCTTTATGCATCGGTAGAAAGGTTTTAAAGCATCTTGTATCATTTCTTACATGAGATTACAAACCTCTACATTAATCAGTCATTTAAAGAGTGATTGAGATGACGCGTTAATCTGAGATTGGCATTAATATTTGTTTATTTTGTTTGTAGGACATGTGGGTCGAGATTTTGCAGATGACGCCATCGAAATGTCGCTGCCACCCTTGGAAGATTTACCTCTCATGACGGGTTACGAAATGGCAACCTTCGAACCATGTAAGACGTTGAAAAAAAAAGAAATTTCATTCTATCAACTTAAAGCGTTGTGTTTTGAAAAGATTGGGTGTTATTTATAACAAATCTATTCGAATTTTTCATAATTATGATAACAGTTTAATCTGCTTGCGATATCAGAATACGATAGCAATCTTTTGTAAATTTAGATAATCCGAAACCTATCTACATTTTATATAATCTTTTACACTATTTCTGTTTTCTACCCAATTATCAAACACTGCAAGACTATTGTATATGCAGTTTCCAAAAAAGTGTTCCGCGGAACTATACTTGTCATAATTACCGTTACTTGGAAGGGTCTCGGGTGTTCCGAGAGTTCGAACTTTTTTTTTAAGACAGGTAATGAGTTTTGAAGCTTGATTATATTAATACCCATTTGATTATTCATTATTTATTTAATTAATAATTTGGTTGTTTTTGCGTAATTATTTAGTAAAAATGCCTGTTAAAAGTGAAGTAACAAACTAGAAGGAAAACAATTCTAACATTCTGGAAAAAATATGGAAAAGACAGTACATTTGTAAAAAGACGTATTATTATTTGCAGTTGGAAAAAAAAATACAAATTTATCAACTACGAAATATATTTCGCTAAAAACCATTCTAAACGGGTTTTTTTTTTAAACAAAACTATGTATTGTTTATTTTATTTATAATAAAGTCACCTAGGAAATTTTCAATTCTTCCACAGACGGAAACTGTTTTTTCGTTTGTATATACAGCTTTACTGAGAATAACTCCTCACGTTTAATTGAGGACTAAGTTCATGAAAAAGACAAGGGGACAACTAATTAAACAGAAAACCTATTCTATAAAGATTTTGCAGCTTAAATGTTGATATTGTCCTGCGGCAAATACTATATGGAGCAACAATAATTTTTAAAATGACAGTAAATCGGTTTCTAACTTTTTTTGGTATTAGGCTTCATGCTTCCCGGTGGGAACATCACGTTAAAATTACTATGTGAAACTATGAGTTAATCTATTCACTATGTGTTAAAAATAGCCGAAGTCTTCTAATCCATTCATGAGCCTACACCTCCTCGAAATCAAGACTGCTCTATTTCAGTGGGATACGCTGTAAAATTATTAAAATAAAAAAAGTCTTTAACACTTGTAGCTCAAAAGCATTTTAAATTATTCAGAAATTACGAATAAAAAAAATATTTAGCGTAATCAGTAATTTTTATTAAATCAAAGATACTGAGAAATCCACTAGTCTAAAATAATTTTTTTTCTTTCAATTGCCAGCACAATGAAGGAATTAAGAATTTTTCGTTATATCGAAAAATTTGTGTTATCGAAGTTTGTGATATTCTACTGTATTTTGAGAAGCCCTGCGCAAAAATTGATAATTTTCTCCTCTTTATATGGTATATAGCACCCCTTTTAATCTCTTATAAATCTTATATTTTACCCCTTTCCTTAGAGTAAACAAATAATTTTTCCAATACATCGCCATTCCATTCTTCTATTTCATAATTTCCACCATTTCCACCATACATTTTTGAATAGCCTTTATATGATCTACAATATGATGAATGAATAAATGACGATCTTTATATGGTCTATAAAATTCATTCCATTTTACAATTTCATAATTTCCACCAATTCCACTATCAATTTTTGAATAGCCTTTATATGATCTACAATAGGATGAATGAATAAATGACGATCTTTATATGGTTTATATCCATTCATTCCATTTTATAATTTCCACCAATTCCACTAGAAATTTTTGAATAGCCTTTATATGACCTACAATATGATGAATGAATAAATGACGATCTTTATATGGTCTATAAAATTCATTCCATTTTACAATTTCATAATTTCCACCAATTCCACTATCAATTTTTGAATAGCCCTTATATGATCAACAATAAGATGAATGAATAAATGACGATCTTTATATGGTTTATATCCATTCATTCCATTTTTCAATTTCATAATTTCCACCAATTCCACCATATGCTCAGGAATAGCCTTCATAGGATCTACAAATAAGTATAAAAAATGAAAAACGAATTTTTTTTTAATATAAAAATGAACGATTTAAATAACAAAACGTAATTTTTTTATTTGTATTATTATTTTTATTCTATGATTCTCCCTCTACATTGCATCTCTGCCAACCGTTCTAAATAAAACAAAAGTAAAAATAATCTCCAAGTCTTTACTAAGAAAATATCTCAATTATGATTTGTATACATCAAGATTTTTTTTTCTTTTTTGAGAGCAAATGTGGAAAAAAAATTACTGGTTACGTTTGCTGGGAAGTTAGCCAAATGAAGCAAAAAAGAAAATAATTACCATTCAGTATCAACTTTAGAAACACGCGTAGTGTAAAAAATACGCTAAGTAGGTGGGGATTTTTTCTCTCTTTTTTTTTTTTTTTTTATTCGAGTTTAAACCATTTTTATCCTTCATATTCTTAAAAAAAATTGTTTATATATTATTAATATGTTGTTAATATATTGTTAAAAATTGTTCATATCTTGATAGTTGCAGAAATCGACAGTAAAAATGTATCAAGAAATTCAAATTAATTATGATAACGAGTAATAAATACAGAAAATACATAAATAAGGTAACAGGCAGTAAACTTTTTCTAAAACAATAATCGAAAAATTTTGTATTATACAATTGTTTTATTACTATATACATTTTACTACGTTTTGCTTATCATTCATTAAGCAGTCATTAAGCAAAACGTAATATATATATATATATATAGTCAAACTCCGCTGTAACGAACATGGTTTATAGTGAACTCCCGGATATAGTTTTTATTTTATTTTATAACCGTCGTTGAACAGCCGACCCAATTTCATGGGTTTACGACTACTAACGTTCAACTCCGAAGCCTTGTAATTTTGAACCAATCCAGAAGACAAGGAAACTCCTGGATCAGTACCCCCAGAGGTATTGATTTGTTGTGGGAACATGGAGGTGCAGATTTAACGTGCATCAGTCACCATTTACTACACGGGGAGTCTTCGGCCGGCGAGGATCGAACCCACGACCTCTTGGATATGGGCCCAGCGCCCTACCGACCAGGCTATCCCGGCCCCCGGATATAGTTAACGAAATGTTCGCTCCCGTGCCTTGCTATACACCAGGGCTGTCCAACTGGCTGCCCGCCAACTTCTTATTCAGGCTGATCGGCGCCTCAGTTTTCTCATTAAAATGTAAGCAAATTGTTTTATAATCCTTCTGTTCCATTGTTTCATAATTAATAATTCAACTATTATAAGTTACTAGTGGGCTGCGGCCCCTGCTCGCTAACGCTCGCCAACCCCCGAAAATTGCTATGCAATCTTATATGGTTTGCTTCGCAAACCAAGCTCGCTCGCTACTAACTTAGGTACATAGCAAATGCACAAAATTCTAAGAATTTAAAACAATCATTCAAATCCATATAAAAACTTCTTTTTAAAAAAAAAATTACATCTTTTTAGTAAATACTAAGTCATTAAAATAAATTTGAATTTAAATAAATGACATGTAATTCGTTAAACCTATTAGAAATGTGCTATAGTATAAAATCTTAAGATAAAATTTCTAAAATTGATATCTCTTTAAAAAAGTCAAAATTTTGGCTATAATTAAGTCTATTAAAAATTGAAATAAGTGAATTACAATGGTAAAACCTGCATAAACAAATAAATTCTAGTAAAACTAATAAATTCGTGATATAAATCAAAAATCGTCAAATAACTTCGTAATACATAAATTCGTGAAAAAAGCGCTTTCGTCAAAATACTAAAATAGAGATCTATCGACAAAGACTACTCACTTCTGCCTAGCTTATGCTCTCTCTGGTTATTTCCGTTTCCGTTTTTAAAAGCGCTATGTTGAGCCATTTCAGCTAGATTTGGCATGTGACATTTTTAGCGGCAATCATTGGTCGATTTTCTAGCGTTGCCATTCGGGGAGTTGTAATGAGGCGTTTTTCTTCACCGTGTAAGAGAAATATATATATAGATTGTATAAGAGATAAGAGGTTATTGCTCAACTTTTTCAAACTGCGGCCCGCCAGGTGATCGGTGACCGGAATTCTGGCCAGTGGGCTCTTTGCAGTTGGACAGCCCTGCTATACACTGTAATATTTTTTGTGGATATAGTGAACCAAAAGACGAGAGAAAATTGATCATCACGAACTTTTTCTGTCTTCGACGGATTTTTTTCTTCATTTTTTTGGTAATTTTGAAATTTGAGTACATATGCCGATTTCTAAAACCATCTGTTGAGTGGAATGTAGCCATAAGCATTTTTTCTTGTATGCTTTTTCTATTTCAGTTTCCCATCCCTAAGAAAAAGCCATCCCTAAATTTTTTGTACGCAAGACGAAGAGTAATAAAAAATAAAAATTAACACATTTTTTGTTACTACATATTGTTTAATCATATATGTTTTAATTGGTCACTCATTTTAATAGTGTGTAATAAAAGGGAGCAGTTCGGAAAAATTAATTGAAATTGTTCGCAGTGCGGATATAGTGAACTCCCGGTTATAGTGGTAAGGTTCACATAAGTTTGATTTTATTACAGCAGAGAATAGTTTAACTTTCATATAAAAAGGTGGCAACATTCAGATATGTAAATAGAACGCTTCGCAATCTATGGATCAAAGAAAGAATCTTTTGAAAGTTGTTCACGTACAACATCTTCGTCCATATCACATGCGAGATACGGCAGTCACTCAGGAAGAAGAGAGCTCGGAAGAAGAGGAAGAATCTGTTTCCGAATTACATCCAGTAGAAAACATCCAGGATTCTGAAAATTACCCGAACGATCTGCGACGCAATCGACGCCCGCCTGAAAGACTTATTAGACAAAATCTCTCCTAGAACCTTAATGTTTACGCTTCAATGTAAATATCTACATTTAGCATTGAGCGGGATGGAATGTAAGGTTCGCATAAGTTTGATTTTATTACAGCAGAGAATAGTTTAACTTTCATATAAAAAGGTGGCAA